CCATGCCTTATCATGGTAATAAGCAGGCAGCTTCCTAATCTTACTGATAACTATTCCAAAACAAAGTTGTCCTTCATCCAATGAAGCTTTTTAATGAACGTGGCCTTCAGCATTAACTTAAGCAAAATCTGGTCTCTGACAATGTGTAAAGTCATCCATGAAACTGAGGGTAATATCTCTATATATAAAATAAGGACAACATCACCAGCCCCAAATGTTTGCTGATAAAGAGTCGTGAACATCCATCCCAAAAGAAAATGGAAAGACAAACAACTGGAATAACTGTGCAATCAAGACCACAAATTCTCCTTCCTCTTTGCTCTATGAGGCTTAATTGGTAATCAGCCTGTATAGAACATCAAGAACAGAGGCAAATTGGTACAGGAAATATTGAAAGAAAGAGCCAAAAAGCAGAAAACAAACCTCTTACTCAGCCATGAAACCCTTGCTTGGCTCTCAATTGACCAAAAAATGGAATTGCTACTAAAGATAAGTAATAGGCATAGAGTAATATAGCAGGTGATTAAAAACCTGAGAAAGAGAGAGAGAGAGAGAGATCAGAGTAATGTACCGAACAACTCTAAATCTCTCGTTTTTCCCTCGATTGACCAAATAAAAAATTCAATTAGTACGAAATCCAGTAACCCACTAAAATCTCTTGTTTTCCCCTCGATTAACCAAAAAACTAAAATATTGGAAGTAATAACAAAGATAAGTAAAGGGTATCCACTGAACAAGCAACTAATTAACGCTCAAGAAAGAGAGAGGCGGCCGACCTGGAGGAGTGGAGGAGAGCAAGCTTGAGAGGACCAAATTGAAGCTCAGCCCAGCGAAAGGTGCAAACATTGATGGTAAAATCGAGGCCCTCCGAGTAGAATTTTGCGGCTTTTGGAACGTCTCTGTGCAGTTGCATTATCTAAAAGAGATCAAAAAAAGAGAAATTACCTAAAGAACAATTTTTTCCAAAAGAGATGATTTTTACTACGATTTGTCAAAGGACAAGATTCCTCGATACTCTTCAGCTAGAAAGCAGAAAATTCACACATACAAGTAAAAAAGGCAAAATCCACTGTCTTTGCGAATCTCGCCTGGTCACATTGGTAAGCCACAATTTTACGTCATAGCCTCCCAGTTCACAGTAAGGAAGAAGACCATTGTCATTTCCAGACATTCATCGGCTTTTCGTTTAGAACTCGAGCTCTCCCAGAAGTTTTGCTTTAATAGTCGTAACTAGAATGCTAATAGAGGTAGATGAAAATAAGGAAAAAAAAAGGGAGGAGAGAACTTGAAAGCCAAGAAACCCACGAAATGTGAAGGACAGGGAAATGGCGCTAAAATAAAATACTTTGCACGCATTCAAATTTTACTTTTTCAAAAATTTTTGCCACAGGCTCTGTGTGCGTGGCAAAATTTTAGTTTTTCAATCAATTTTGCTACAGTTATATAACCATGGTTAAAGAGCGGTTTTTTTTGTAGTGATACCAACCAATCTATTATACAAATAAATAACTAAAAAATATTTGAGTAAATTTGTCAAATTCTTGATATAAAATTCGAAACTAATACTAATTAGTGTACACACGTAGCAAATAAATACAAATATTTGGACGGATTACCCAATGGGTACGAGTTTTCCTCCATGTTATATGGAGAATGAAGAACAATATAAACAATATCCAACACCGGTATCAACAATCTATATTTGATTTTCCTACTCTGAAGTAGGCAAACCAGAGGCACTAAATCCACCATCAACAGCAATGACCTGCCCGGTGATGTAGGAAGCAGAAGGTAAACAGAGGAATGCCACTAGTGATGAGACTTCCTGGGGCTCTCCGGGGCGTGAGATTGGAGTATGAGAGACTAGGTCGTCTAAATATTTTTTCGAAGCAGGATGAAGCTGTAGGAAGGGAAAATTTTAGAATGATATTTGAATAGGATGTTTCTACAATTTAAAACATTGCCAAAACATTAGGAGTAGAGTTTCTGAAACCCAGCCACATTTTGCACCTGCTGAGTAGCATCACTAGCGTTCAATAGTATGAACACCAAAGGCAGTGACTTCATTTTTCCAAGGGCGTACAATTTTGATGGTATTCCATTTAATAAATTTAATAGATTGTAGTATATAGAAAGAACAATCAGTACATCGAAATTTTTATTGTTAGAATATCCAATGAAAGTTAGATATATACAACGTTATTTGCAATATATCCCCAAAATTTTACAAAAATTATTTATAATTGTTTGCATGTACTCTTTTTATTGAATTGATTTCCAGCACACTTAAAAATGACATTCTTACAAACTTATTTGGTTTTATTTTTCTTTAAAATATCCACTATTAAATTTATTATTAAAAATTCTAAAACTAATTGAGTAATCATTTTATTTGTTTTTAAATTTTATTTGGCAGGGACACGGCAACAATATTTCCATAAGGATAGAGGTAAAACAGTTCTTCAACTGAATAAAATAATACGAAATTAAAAAATGGGGAAACGCTTATATTTCGTGTCAAATCAAGGGCAAACCGGACATTCAATATGTACACTGAGGGTAGTTTGGTCAAATCACGGGCTGGATATATTGGCCATTATGAAATTTCTAGGGACAACGCAGAAATGTATTAGAGATACATCGGTCAGTTTTTATTGGTCCAAGGGTAATTTTGTCTTTTTAAAAAGGGATCTTGCCAGTTATGATTCTGGATACGTGGTCTAATACAGCTTGACTCGGCGGGTTACTTCACGACAGATCTCGGCTAGAGTTCGCAATTCAATCCGGCGCCCAGCCATGACTGGCGGGGAATTTTTTAAAGCAAAAATTATTAATTGGGTGAGCTTGATTAAATTTATTATTCAGATGATTAATATAAAAAATATTTACTTAGAAAATAATCATTTATTTTTAAAATATTTTGTCACATTCAAACTATAAATATAAATATAAGTATATTTTCCTAAAATTGAAAGATTTAATTTGTAAACTTATAAACATGTTTCCGCACAACTATAGCTATAAGTTATAATTATTTTATGTAAAATTATAAATTATAATTATTTTTTTAAAAATTATAAATATATTTTTATAAAATTATATATATACTTTTGTAAAATTAATATCATTACAATTTTTATAAAATTATAAGCATATTTTTGTAAAATTACTACGATTGTAATCTTCTCTAAACTGTAAAATTATCTAAATTATAAACATATAATTATAATTTTATAAAAATATACTTATAATTTTAAAAAATATATAATCATAATTTTTCATATTAACATAATTTATATAGAAAACAGAAAAATTAAGAAAAATTAGTGAATTACCTCAAGTTTTTTTTTAATAATATAGTTATATATTTAATATATTTTTAATTAAATGTATATTTATTTTAATTAATCTATAATTAAAGAGGATAATATTTATTAAAATTATAAAATAATTTTTGTATTTTATTAAATATAAACATATAAGAGCGTATTTAAGTATAAATTATTATAAATTTTTTATTCAAGTTGTAACACATACATACCTAATAAGTATATTCTTTTGCTTATTTGATTGGTTTAAAAATATTTATTTTAATTTGATTAACTTAATTTTTTTTATTATTAGTGTGTCTATATATATCTTAATAAAATCCTTACATACATATATAAAACTAAGCATAATCGTATTTATGCATATTCCTCTTTGAAGAAAAACGAAAAGGACTCCTATGACTTTGTTTTTGAGACAAGATGATCAAATATATCTTTAAAAAAACGGAGGTAGAATCCCCAGTGGGAACCAAACACTCAAGATCTAATTGAAGTTACTAGAAAAGGCCATATAATTTATAATACACAACGAGGAGATTTATTACTTATTATTTAATAAATGACCTCATATGTAGATAATATATAAATATATATTTATATCGAAAGCGGGAAAATTAAGAAAAATGATAGTGCAATACCGCAACTTTCTCCGCGAGTGAGGTACTAATAACTCCTGGCGCCACCGTATTTACACGAATGTTGTCCTTTGCCCACTCGCAAGCCAAGCTCCTTGTAATTTGATTAATTGCTCCTATGCACTCTCAAAATATTAGTATAACTCTTACTCCTCTACCCGTTGCTCCATTTTTTTAATTTTTTATTATAAATATATTTAGCAACTAGAAAAAAAAGTAATAGAGTGCGTACCATATTTCCTAGTTGCTTAAATCTTAGTTAATTTTAGTTCTTCATCCTTTTTATAGAAATATCTAACATTTTATGGAAATGATAATGATAAGTTTCTTTACTAGAAATTAAGTTGTCATACCTTTAGACGCTGCATGGATAGAAAGTCGTGGCAAGCCTACGAGACCAGCAATAGAAGAGATGAAGACAACGCTACCCTTCCCTGATGCCCTGAGAAGTGGGTGTGCCAGCTGACATAGATGGTAAGCTGACTCAAAGTTTGTGCCCATAATTGTTGAGTAATCTTCAGCAGTTACTTCTGTGATTTCTTTAAAGACAGCTGTTCCAGCATTGTTCACCTACTCCAAAATCACCGCCCACAAAAACCTCATTTTTCTTCTAAATATACCGAAAATAAAGAAAGAGAGAAAAGTGATCTTGTCTGGGAGCCCTCTATTTAGTCGGCCACATCAAAACTCAAGAAAAAGGACAACTCAAAGTATATGTTAATATTATCTATAACTTAGACAGTTCTGAAATGTAGAACGGGGACAGAATCGTAAGAAGGTATATGTTCTAAAAAAATATTGTATTAATCTTTTATAAACTATTGATCCAGGATGATATGTTTTAAAAATAAATATGGTACATTAAGCGTTCTCTTTCATAAACTATGATCCAGGAATGTTTTTCCGGCCTGGCCGAATCGAAGCAATCGGATGCCGCAAGTGAGAAAATTGTAAGCCGAGAGAGCGAAGCGTATCCAATCGAAGTAGAGGATAGCAAGAAAACAAAACCTTGGTAGAGTGATTGCAAAAAAGGTCGGTAACAACTCATGGTGAATAGCAGAATCAACGACGGCAGCTTCTGACATGGGTTTTCCAAACCAAGGTCTCCTCTAGTTGACATCAACCCGTCAGCTATTCTCCTGGTTCTTCGTCATAGACTCAATAGAGTGAACAAGTAGGAGCGGCTTAATGATTTTGGTCACCTAATCAAATTTATAACTTGGGGCTTTTTATCCTTTTCATAAAATTAATATAAATCATTATTTAAAATTTAATTTTCTGATTTTTGAGATAAGAAATTGCTGTGTAAATTTTTATACTCAATTTTTTATAATATTTCTTTTTCAATTGATAACATAGTCTATAATGACCCAAAATTTTTATTAAGACATTTCGTGAATTAAATAGGTTTGGGGGGCGTCAGTGAATAAATTAAAGGTTTTGGGGCGATTCTGTAAAGTCCGGAAAAGACCAAGGACTAATTTCAAAAATCTCAGGGCCAAATTGAGAAATATTGAAAGAGGGGTGACTGGGTTGTGAAAGGGGCTGAATCTGGGGACCAAATTTAGAATTAGGAGGGGGGCAATTTGAAGAAAATGGAAGTTAGATGGCTGGAGTGGGACAGAAGGGATAACTTCAGCCGGAACTTGGCCGAAGCTTCATGAAACCGATTTGCTCCAATGGGACCAGGATAGAGCTTCAAATTTTGGGATAAAAGTTGTGGAGGAGAGACGAGCTTGGACATGTGCTCAATTGAGAGTTTTAGAGAGCGAGGAGAGGGAATTTGGTGCTTCTGGGTTCGGTCGGTCGTCCGTGCATGGGTTGAGTTTTTCAGAAATTAAAGGCGACTCAGTCCATTTTTCTTCAATCGAACAGCTTCATGAAGCTTGCAGGGTTCGGTTTGGTGGTTTTGATATTTAATCGAGCCAGGTAAGTTGGGATTGTATTTTTATATGAGTTTTGAAGATCCGGGTCTATTACAGACCTGGATGACTGGTTCGGACGCCACGGTCGGGCGAAGGAGAAGGGACCGGGCTCGGCCAGGTCCCGCACGGGGGTTGGCCCGGGTTGTGGGCCCAGGCTCAGTCTGTCAGGGTTGTAACCCCACAGTCCTGAGCCACAGGCCAGCCCAAGTGAGGCTGGGCTAAGTCGACCTGCCAGGTTGACTTGCCCCAGTGAGGAAATGGGCTGGGTCAACTCAGCCGAGTTGACCCATAAGGAAAATCAGAATACCTATTCCAGGGGGATATGAAATCAATGATAAGGCTAATTGGGGGATAGCATAATCCGGGATTTTAGAATAAGGGTTTGGAGTTGACTGAATGGCTAGAAATGGTCCAATGTTTGACCGGCCGGTTCAATGGTCATTTGGACTTGAATTTGGGAAGTTGGACCAGTTCTGGATTCAAGAAGAAAATACCTATCAAACCAAGTGGGTTCGGAAAATTTTGGGTGGCCAGTTTAGTGTGGTTCCTTCGGGCGACCGGTTCACTAGTTTTTAGGCCAATTCTTAGGCAGATTGAACTGGTTCCTGGTTCAACATGATGAAACCTAGCTGATTATGAAATTTAGAGATTTTGGATAACTGGTCCAAGGTGAACTGGCCTCGGTTTGGGTGCCAACGCTTAGGATTAGGGTTTTTAGCCCAGTTCAGCTTAATTTTTAGAGGTTTTTGGCCGGTTCAAAGTGGTTCCTAGGGTTTTTGGGCCTTCTGAATTTGATTTTGAGGGTTTCGTGACCGATTAGGATGAGTTAGGAGTGTCTCGAGATGTGTACTAAGAGCTTGGACATGAGGGAAGTCCCGGGGCACTTCTGATGAGTGCGTCTTTTCAGAGTAAGATCTGTTTTGATTCTGACTCATGGTTTGATGATTGTAGATACTCCAAGGGAGGTTCTCTTTGACCATTGACCCGTCTGTTTGAGATTCGGCGCTCGGTTTTGACGTGTCCGGTGAGTGACAGTACTCTCTATACATGTGTTTGCATTCCGATTTTCTATTAAATTTTTGTGTTTTGATTTCTGAACTATGTTATTATTTTCGGTGCATGTATCTATCTGTTTTAGAGTATGATAAACTTGAAGTTATTTCTGTAATCACTTATATAAATTTGCCTTAGTGATATATGTGTTACTTGTTAAGTAAATCTGTCATGAATTGGTATGTGATTTTGATATGTGGTTATGGTTCTGGCTCTGGTTCTGATCAGGGGTGCCAAGGACTCGGCCATTGGATGATCGGCCGCCGTATCTTGCGGGTAGTGTCTTAAGTCCGTGTGGTTGGCCGCTGTAATGTGCGAGAAGTGCCCTAGGCCCAAGGATGTGATAAGTGTGACTCTGATTCTGATTTGTGATTCTGGCTCTGGCTCTGGCTCTGACTTTGGCACGGGATCCCAATGCAATATATGTGACATGTGGCTGTGATTCTGATTATGGGACGCCCCGGACTCTGCCGTCGGGCGGTTGGCCACGTTGCACAGGAAGCGCCCTAGGTCCACCTATGACTCTTGTCAAGGGCCCTGAATCCGTACAATGAGTCGTCGTAGCGTGCGGGGAGTGCCTTGGGTTCGTACGGTTGGCCGTCGTAGTGTGTAGGGAGTGCCCTGGATCCATATGTGGTTTTGATTTTGATATATGTTATGTGTTATGTTGTGATACTTTGATTAGATTCTAATTTTCTGATTATGACTGTGCATATGAAGCTACATGTATTAATTTAAGCAATGTGACTTTTGTACATTGTGTTGTACATGAGTGATATGTGTGTTTTAAATGATTTCGGTTCCTGTCCCAGTATGTCCAGATAGCACTGTCATTCACTGAGTTATATACTCATTCATTTTTCTCCCACCTTTTAGATTCCAGTTTTGATAGGCAGCGGTAGCTCCAACGTCAATTAATCGCCGCTGTACTGATTCAATTATATGGGCACCATTTGTATATTTACTTTTTGTATTCTAGACGCTTTGTGTACAGTCAGATATGCATGGTTAATTGTATGTATATATATATGGTTTTCTGATAAGAGGTTTTATTGATTTGGCTATGATCAAAGGCTTACTAGGGTTGGTATGCTAATTTTAGTGCCAGTCACACGCCTGGGTTGGGGCGTGGCATAGTCCTTGAGAAAAAAAAAATAACTATAGAAAAGAAAAGTTAAATAAATTTAATGAAATAGTTAGGATGTTAGGTGGGAGTGAGGAGATATAATGTGGGGAAAAAATAGGAGTTATGAAATAAATAGATGTTTAAATTAAAAGATAATTATTTTGAATAGGAGATTTGATTTTGACATAAATAAGAGAGGAAAAATAGGAGTTATGGGAATATAATTAAGTTGTAGTTAACTAATTAATATGAACAATATAAAAATTAGGCACTTTAGGGGTCATTTGGAAGATCGGATAAGAATGGATAATGATCGTTTATCCACTATTATCTTATCTGGATTCATTTTTGATAAATCGGATAAAGTAGAATCAGATAATGTTCAGATATGAGAGAGATTGAATAACATCAGGACAAATCCGGATAAACTATATTGGAGAGAGGGGTAAGATAATTTTATCCGACCCTATCCAAGTTATTTGGACGATATTATCTTCATTACCGTCGCTAGTCGTTACTTCTACTACATTCATCAAACAAAATAATTATCCAGATTACTATGCAGTCAAGATACTTTATCCAAAAACCTGTCCTATTTTGCTTTACTTTGTCCAACTTACCAAACGGCCTTTAATTGTTATAATTTTTTTAAAATTATTATTATAATAATAAAATATTATAAGAAATAAAAAGATAACATGTACCAAATTAATTAAAAGCTGCCATGTTATTAATTAAAACCCGCCATGTTGTTTAACTTTAGATGCTGCCATGTTATTGTTTAACAAACCAGTTAATTGATGATGACCATGAGGCGCATGTTTCGCAAGGGAAAGCGAAATGTTAAGTCTTAAGTTGTGGAAAATAAGTCACTGAAATCACTCTTCAGACCAACTAAAAGGAAAGAAAAAAATTTGTCTTGTCCTACAATTTTTGATCTTCAGAATGCAATCGGAAAAGTAGGACTGTGGCTAAGGGAAGGACCCTGTGCTGGGGAGGGGGTGAAGCTTGTCAAAGTGGGCGTTAATCGCCGGCTCGCAACTTTGTTAAAACAGGGGGAAGTGGGATAAGAGAAATTGCCCAAGTTTGAATTGTTAATAATTTTTTGAATGGACTAGTTTTCTGGGAAAAAAAACATTAAATCTTGATGTGATAGTATTAAAAAAACTTAATTATCAATTAAAAAAGGCTTAAATATTTTTAGAACATTAAAAAAAAAAGTGAAACAAACAGGTGCTGGTTGATGGTATAATTACTTACAAGGATATTCAGTTTGCCAGAGAAGACGGAGGAGACAGTCTCCATTAGTTTTTCACGTTGACCTCTTGACGACACATCGCAAACACATCCTGTCACCATCAAGCCCTTCCTTCTCCATTCTTCCAAGCATTCCTCCAGCGCCGTCTCATTGCGCGAGCACGTGTGAACCGCCGCACCGAGAGAGCATAGTTCTTCTACTATGGCGTGCCTAGTTCCCAACAAACAGAATGGGTGACTGTTAAAACATAAACATAAACAAATTCGAAAAATAAAATTATAGAACGAAAACACACACACAATTACTGCACCAAAGCTAACAAATAATGATATAATATCAACATTAAGATTTTCGATTCACATTATTCCACTTTAATAATTAAATATATATGATGATAAATGCTAATATTGAAATTGAAATTGAATTTCAGTGAGAACATTTAAGATCAAGACGTGCCATTTATATAATTCTGTATATTCTTTTAGATTTATATGGGTAAATTACCCTCACTTACAGTCCCTCAACTTTAAAGTTAATGTCATTTTGTTATGTACACTAACAATGCATGTGTTTCAGTTAAACATTTACCCATCAGCCTCCGTTCAAATATTTGTCAAAATTTTGCCGAGGCAGCTACAGATGCCTTTCATATGTATCTTGCTTATGACTAGTGGTCAAAGTATGTAAAGTAAATTAATATGAAGCTAAAAGTATAAAGTATATAAAGTAATATTCAGGCAAGAGCACGTGTCCAAGATAATTGTACTTGCTTATGACTAGAGGTAAAAGTGTGTAAAGTAAATTAATATCAAGCTAAAAGTATAAAGTACATAAAATAATTTTCAGGCAAAAGTACGTGAACAAGATAATTGTAATTAATATAGTAAAACTTTTCCTTCTTAACTTGGGAGTGTTGGAAAATGAATCTGGGTCACTTATGTGGACTGACTCCACTTGACCTATTTTAGCAAATGAGAGGAAACGGTTATACATTTTTAAGTAAGATAGCCACTCACATTTCTAAAAACAGAGTCTGTAGAACAAAAAGACTGGTTACTATATTTCACGTAAAACACAATAAACACTTCAACTTTATATCTAATTATCAACATGTTGATCAAAAAAATTAAAAATACGTGAGAAGTTAACTTTCTCTTAATGCAAAACTCTCCCCAGGCAAATTTCATGTAAAGTCAGCTTTTTTAATTTCTCACATTTAGAAACTGCTTTCAAAACATGCAGAGTAAACTTCCAAGAGAGGCTTCTAATTTCCTATTGACAAGCAGGTTTCTTAAACCCAATATTTAATTGTTAGGATACTTCACTGGTGATAATTCTCGTCAGGAAAAGATTGATTGAGAAGATAAATCTCACTGATAAAGCTTGACCTTATCCTTCTTCAAAAAGAAACACGATCTAAATTGAAATTTTATCTCTTTGAAACCCTATTTAAGATCTATGTTATTGAAGAATTTTAATTGATGAAGTTTATCTAAACTCAATATCTGTTCAAAAAATTTGATGAGCGTTGGGACTCGTTTTCTTGTGTCTATATAAATGGGTCATCTTACAATTTTCTGTAAGTGTGAAAATCAAAAAAAGAGATACAACACAAAGAGTCAAAATTTGTGAGTGTCGTTAATCGTTCAGAAGAAGAGTGAGAGTAAATCTTAACCATATTTGAACAAGAGTTCTATTGTAATTCTGCTATTCTTGTAGTAGAGTTTTTCTAGATTGGAATGATCCCATGGTTTTTTCTTATGGCATTTTCACATAAAAGTCTCTTATATTCATTTGATTAATTTGCTTGTTTATTTTGCATTATCTTTCAATTGTGTTTGTGTGCTTGTGATCATTAGGACCCATAGTGCTATCAGAGTACAGGTCCAAACTAATTCTCACAGGCAGGGGTGTTAAGGTGTCATTGTTTGACAGCCATCTAACAGAGGAACTAAACGTTGATTGACTCTCCATTGAAACCAATTGGTGGTAACATCAACAACAGAGAAGTTTTTCGGCAGTCTCAACTAACAAACCTACAGAACCAGAAAGGAAGTTCTCCACAATTGTGGGCTATTCGCTGGATTCACCTTTTTAGCCAGGGACGAAAACATGGAAGTGATAGCCAACAATCGTTGGCGGTATCCTACGAAATCTCTTCGACGATTGATTCCCGGCCAAAGTCGGAGAAACACAGAATTAGAGAAGCTTGCTTCTTTCGCCTAAAAGGATTGAAGCAAAGAAGAGGCAAAGATGTAGAACCTGACTAACGTGCCTCCGACCAAAAAGGAAAAGAATGAGGGAGGAACTAAAAGCTGGCGTCTGATTACAGGTAGAAATAAACAAATATGGATCTATAAATGAACTCGTCATCGCTGGCTCTGATTGTGTTTTTTCTGGACTGAATAGAGACAGCTGACTCACCTTCATATCTAGTCCACGATAAAGAATGAAGATGCACCACCACTGACTGACTGGCGAGGACGTAGCCAAATAAGGCCAATTGAGAGGGAAGCCAACGTCACGGCAGAGCCCTACCTCCAGATGTAGTTGCGCGGACAAAGGACAAAGAGACAGAATCTCTTTGCGGGTGATTCCTGTAACTCTGATGAATCTTGAAGAAGACTGTAGATCAAGGTCGCTGCTATAGCAGATGCAGCAATCAAACGATGCTGGCAGCGAAAAATTGACGACGGTTTTTCGGGCTTTAACAATAGCCAACGAAAAAGGAAAGTGAAGATCGACACTGCTTCGCAAACTAACTCTGATCGAAGTGAAGAGGCAGTCCGCCTAGAGAAGATCTAGTGTTCGTTGATCTGATCGTGACCCAATCGGGGACTGTTGAGGCTTGCCTATGGTGGCCTTGACTTCTTTACCAATAGAGCAGATAGAGACTGTTGAGGATAAGAAAACAACTGATGTTTGGTAAATAAAGAAAATTGGAACAGATTGGGAAGGGGCAGAGGAAGAAAGAGAAGAGCCGAGCACGGAAAGAAGAAGAAAAAGGGCAAAAGACAAAATAGTACAACTGGCTTAAGTGCAGCTGGTTTTATTGACTTTGCGGGTTCAACTCATCTCAACGCAAACGAGTTCTAACCTGCTTCAAGCTCGATTCAATTAAACCAAGTTTAGACCGATTTGGCTAGGTCCATCCTGGATCAACTCGGTTCAACTCAACTCACCCGTTTAGTTTGTTACAACTTCAGCAGTTTAGCCTAGTTTGGTAGATTCTGAAGTATTTCCTATGCCCCGAACACAATGGAAATGTCTATTTCTCACGATGAAGACATGTTTAAATTAAAAGTGAAAAATTATTCTTATCGTAAATCGATGACAGAAAATCAGTTGTACTGTATGGGCTTGTAAATGCTTGTCCTCAGTAGAACCAAACCAAAGGAGAAGAATGTAGAGGAGTTAAGAACCTTTAATTGAAAAGCCATTGCTATGTTTCGCAAGTATTGGTAGAACCTTGTCTGAGCAAGTATTTTTATATACTGGTATTTTTAGATTTTGGACAAAGATCATTGATTCAAAAGAAAATAATCCTGTTCAAAGCAAGTTTGTTGAGGTGGGTAGCAAAACTTAAATATAAGAAAGAATATATTATTATTGATGCACAAGCAACTTCAAAGAAATTATAAAAACCAGCCTGACAAGATTGATATGAAGATTGCAGATGAGATGCAACAATACAAAAAAAAGCCATCAATTTTCAACGTACAGATTATTTGTTGGATTTTAGATGCAAAGTCTATTGGAAAGATTTTTGGCGGATTATTCACTGAAAAAGCAGTGCCATCTGCAAGATAATTGAGGGAATTTGGCGCAAAAGATTTCCAAATGGATAGGGATGATTTTTTACGAATGGAGTCTGTTAGAAAATTTTAAAAAATTAAAATAGAAATTATATTTTTCAACTTACGTTTGTCTATTGGAAATAAGGAAGTATATCTATTATTTTTTAATCTATTGGAAAGTGAAGAGAATAATTTTTGAAATATATTTTTCGAAAAAAATTTTATTTTTTATAGTCCATTGGAAAATAAAATTAAATATTTTAATTAAAAAATTTTTTATGGACAAGCAACGTGGAAAATCAAAACTTTTTTTATTATGTAAAAAGTGGTTGCCAAGCGAAATTTCCATTCAGAAAACAAAAAAGGCCATGTCAAAATTTTGGGGGGATGTTGGAGATTGTGCAAGAATATTCCGACAGGTCTTCCGACGGCCTTTTCCATCACAAAAACCTTCTTAGACATACACTTCCTGTCAGCCCTCCAACCCCCACTCTTTGTCCATTAGAGTTGTGTAGGCAATAGGATTCGCATCTATTCCACAAGCCTTCTTGTCCTAAAATAAAACCTTAGCTACTTCAAGCTTTTCCCTAGTTGAAGAGACCCTAAATGACAATTCCATATATTAACAAATCTAGGTTGGTGCATTTTCCTTGACAATTCCATATATTAACAAATCTAGGTTGGTGCATTTTCCTTGCAAGGTGAGACAGTCGACTTCGAGAGAGAGTGTCACGTCTCTGACCAAATCGGGATAGGGATAACTGTAGTGTTCATATATCTTGCATACATGCATTATACACGCTATATTAGTGTGCCAAACTTAAAAATAAATATTCTTAGAAGTTGTATGAAAAAAAAAAGAGAGGAAAAAAAAAATAATAGATACCCTTACATGGTTACACAAATAATTAAGTTAGCATTTATTTGTTCAAGTTCACCTAGCATAGCAAATGAAAAAAAAAAAAAAAGAATCTGGAATTCTTAAATTTAAGTTTAGAAGCATCCAAAAATTTGAGAATTTTCAAGGGATTGAGATAAGAATTTAGGGAGATAAATTTTAGTAATTGGGAATCTTTGAGGACATCTCAAATTAGAGAATTAAGAAGTTAATTAGTGTTGTATGATTAAATTTCTAAATCAAGAGGGGTATAGGTGCAAAAATTAAATGATTAAGGGAGAAATTGAAAACAATAAATAAGTGAGGGGCTTCTTTGTAATTACCCCTAAATATGCCTTACATCTATATACATAACCAGCTTGTAATTAAGTAGATTAACTTTCCCAATCATGAAACAAAAGGAGAAGAGAAGAAGAAACTTCGGGAAACCCATGAGAGAGAAAGGAGGAGGAGATTGAAGGTAAGTGATTTATTTTTGGAATTCTTTTAATTTCTTTGCATTTTCTTGTTTGATTAGGTTTTCATCATCTAGATTTTCCTT